ATAATAAAATCAAATAATAAATATAAACATAACAGACAGGCAGATGTAGTAAGTTCATACTGTGTAGATCAAAATGACAGCTTATCAGACTAATATTTTTCATTTTTCATTTGTAAAAGTATATATTAATAGTGTTGCTTAGTAAGTTGTTTTTAAATAATAGCAAACTAAATTAAAATTATTATCCTTAATTAATTTTAACTTTTTAAATTACACATAGAACAATTATATGGCTTTAATAATTAATACTACATTTTATATTTTTCTTTATGGTTATAAATATAATAATGGCAACACTAAATATAGATTACTAATTAATATTTTAAAATTGTAATAATTATAAAAATAATAGCAAAATTAAATAAATAATTTTCCATATTCAATTATAATTAAAATTATAAAAATGTTTAAAGTTAAAAAATATTGTAATGTAATTGGTGCAATTTTCATTTTGTTAATTGTGGGTAGGCTGTCTGTAACAACTATACATTCAAGACATGTAACACCTCAGTCTCTCCCGTGACCATGGATGCTGTAAAGCATTCGAAACGTCGGGAAACAAAAATCCAAATAAATCCGCGACAAAATCCGAAAAGATAGTTTTATTTAAAATGTCAAATATTCGCGTAAATCTAAGAAAGTATTATTTGTACAGTTATTATTATAATATATTTTCATGTTTCATAATGCATTACTCATTGTTTATGACACATAAAAGGCATTTACCTTTGTGGGACATCAGTGTAATTAAAACTATATGCAAATATGCTTGTAATGAAATAATAACAACACATTGTTATTTATAGAATCATATTTTTTCATAAGACGGAAATGATAAGTACAATGTACTGTATAATAACTGTATTTAATAATTATGAAGACTTTTATTAAACTAATCTCGTTTAAGTCTAGCAGCATTTTTAGAGAATGTATCAAAATCATTTAATCTTAATCTTACAAGATTAAGATTAAATCTATACATATAATAAAATTGTAACTAAGCCGAATCTGTACATTAGATATTTTTTGGAAAATTTTATTGAAATAGACATTATTATCGATGCAGAGGCTGAATCTATGGTTTTTAGTATTTTTATGTCTATCTGTCTATCTGGGAACGCATCACGAAAAAACCACTGGAGGGATGAAATTTGGTATGATGATAGCTGGTTATCCGGGTCAACATATAGAATACTTTTTACTCTCTACTCTGAGAAATCTATATCAACCTTAAAAACGTAAGTAGGGACGAACCCGAGCGGAGCGAGGGTGAGTCGCTTGTTCATTACACAAAAATAATTTTCCTTTGAAGCCAATCTGCCACCCACATATGATTTTAACATTCACAATTTGGCTAACAAAAGTTTATTCTTAGAAGCAAAAAGCTTTGGGCGTTAATAAATGATTTGTTAAAGGCAGTCAGGTTTGAAACGTTATAATAACAGGAAATATCGGAACCGCTTACGCGAACATCCTTATTATTTCTCAGTTTAAAATATGAATCAATGAACCTTGCACTACATTTGGTAGATTTCAGAAATTTAAACAACTTCCTTCATAGTAAATGAATCCGCTCTTACGGTAGGTGCGGCTTTTAGAATTATCCTCATTCTGAATTTCATACAAAATCGTTGAGCCGTTTCAATGTAAAGAAGTAACTAAAGCACTTAGTTATCTTTTAAATCTTAGAAGTCAATTTCAATCTTCTTCTAATTGTCATATCAAAATCAAACTTTGTATGTACATATATGTACATTTGTGGTTCGGGTGACAAAACTATAATTTGGTATCTTGGATCTGATCTGTTGATGGACCAGAAGGTGAAAGTGGGACTCGTCAGTGGCTATTAGTAAATCCCTCAAGTTTAGACTCATATGATTCGGTTTGACGAGTCAAATAGATGTTTATATTTTTTAGTGCGTGATAAAAGAGTGCTTTTTATTTTATTTAAACTATGTATTTTTCTGTTTTAACTTTTAAGTTTGTCATAAAGTATAGAATAGTAAAGTATAATATGACAATATTGCTGTAATTAATATATCAAAATCAACCATTCAAGAATAAAATGCAGTGGGCGAAACCGGGCCTTCTTCTAGTCTATAATAAAATTTTTCGAAACGTAGGAAAATTTCATTTATATTCAGAGTAATACGCAGTTTGCGATTAGCTGTTTGTTTTCTTTCAATCTATTTTTGTTACCGGTTTATATTTGGTGCGTAAGTGTTTAATGCAATGAATGACGCCTACTCGTTCTGTGGACACCCACCAGAAATATTATTAAAGAAATTCTTTGGAAACTCTTTCGAATGATTGAATTCAATAGCAAATCCTACTCATAGATGAGATAAAGTGGTTAAAGCGCGTTATTTTTAATTCGAGAATATTTCAACACTTAGCAACTTTTATTTTCGGACTAGTCTCTAACTAGCTGACATAGTAAAAAATAATTTAAAAGATTATATGCCATGAAAATATTATTTATCTGAACAAGAATTATCGTATGTTACTTTCATGCTAATAATTTATTCCTTGGCATGAAATTAAATTGATCTATCTGTATGTAGACTTACTACTGTAGTAAAAAAGGACATCTTCGAAAACACTCCGCATTTATAATCTCTAATATGAAACATGTAAGTAAAGCAATATGTAAAATGAATAGGAAATAAAAGGAATAGGAATAGAGAGTGCACTTGTGCCTGCGCGTACACTTGAGCACTATAATATCTCCTGCGCAGTTGGCTAATCTCAATGAGATTGGCCGCCGTGGCCGGAATCGGCTAGGAAAACATCACATCACATCATCATGTAAAATGAATATCACTCACAATAAAATTTATGTTACATTAAATTTGACCGCTCTTCCATCGTTAAAGTTATATAAACATTTACAATATAACAGTTCAGGGACCAAGAAAACCGCTTACAGACAAAATAATGTTACGGCCTTATAAAAACCCAATTAATTTCCGATACGAACAAAAAAGTTACTTAAAGACACTTTATATAAAACATTTTATTCGCTTGCGATCGTAAAATATCAATAATAAGGTGTATAAGGAATGCCCGCCACCTGTCCAAACAGTAAGCTCTGAGGCAGGTCAGATCGGTCATCGGCATAGGAGTTTTGCACACGGCGTGTTACAATTCAAAAATCCAAAAAAACATGGCCATTTTGTGAAATATTGCATTATATTTTGGTCGTTTCTTGATAAATATTAGTGTACTAGTTTAGTTGATATTTGTATAGTCTATCCTATTGTAACAGAGTCACTAATGATTTTTGATAGACAGATTTACAAAACAACCTATTTAGAAACAAAAATGGATTAATAGCACATTATTGTTCTAAAATTTACACATTTTTTGAAATCTGTACACTATATACAATTTGTATAATAAAATTCTGAGTCAAATCTGTATATTCAATATTTTTTGGAAAATCTTATTTAAATAGTCATTACTCTCGATACAGAGGCCGAATCTATAGTTTTTAGTATTTTTTGTCTGTCTATCTGTGAACGCATCACGGGAAGATTCTGATGAAATTTAGTAAGACGATAGCTGGTTATCCGGGTCAACATATAGGATACGTTTTTACTGAGGGAAAATATCTCATCTCTGAGAAATCTATACTAAACGTTAAAACGTAACTAGGTAACTAGGGACGAACCCGAGAGGAGCGAGGGTGAGTCGCTTGTAGAGTAATATGATACAAGTTGTTGACTAAAACCTAAAGCGTAATAATACAATTCAAAACGTTATATTTCCAGTCGAAAATAATCCCAGGCGATATTTTTGTATGAAACGTCAGAAAGGACGAAAATAAAAAATAAGAACAATATTTCGAATGATTTCAGATTTTCCCCATAAAGAAAACAACATAAAAATACTCGTATAAATAGAAAGCTCTTGCTTTCTTGATCATATTAATGCGCAAATATTTTTTGTCTTTCTTTGGAGTAGCAGAAGATTGACAAATTGACTTGAATTTTACTGTTTTATATGTGTATCTCAATTGGTTTTTAATTTTTTGGGTATGCCACGCAATATATTCACAAATGGCGAATCGACTTTCATAATTATTTTTATTTATTTCATTTCGTCAAAGAATTCCAGTAAAGATTGCAAAGCAAACAAGTTATTATATACATAGACTGTAACTTTACGATGTAAAAATATCTATTTAGGTTATTCCATTTTAGCACAAATATACGTGTATTATATACATACATATACACACATACATTATAAGACTCCCACAAGATACGTATATAACCAGGTACCTGTTATCATTGCCAGTTTCGACTAAAGCAAATATTTGCAGCAGTTCGCGCGGCGAATCCTTCAGATGACGTGATGCGTTAGTGACACAATGAGAACAGCATGATTTTTGATCAACATTGTTTAGTTGAAAGCTATTTATTTATAAGTGGAAAATATTTGAGATGGTGAATTAATTAAAGCCACCTATTTATTTCCTGCGGTTAGTCTTATTTATTTAATGTGACACACTTAATTTGACTGAGTTGACTGAGTGGCATTGCTAATTGCTATATACGAGTACACATGCATAGTAGGTAGACTGTATGTGTATATACTGTATAGTGTGTGTAGGTAGACTGTATGTATATATATATATATATATATATATATATATATATATATATATATATATATAAATATTAGGGTGTGCCAAAAAATGACGATATTTTTTTTCTTCAAAAAATACCGTCATTTTTTGGCACACCTAATATATTTAAAAGCGTTTTTATAAAATTGTAGATAGGCACTATTTTGTAACAAGTATATAACGCCCTTGAGACGTCTACAATCTTAGTCTCTCCCGTGACCATGGATGCTGCAAAGCATTCGAAATGTCGGGAACCAAAAATTAAAATAAATCCGCGAAAAAATCCGAAAAGATAGTTTTATTTAAAATGACAAATATTCGCGTAAATCTAAGAAAGTATAACGTCTACACAGTGTACATGTACTCACTGGTCCGAGTCGTAGTGGCGCGTGCCGTGCGGCGCGGGCGCGCTGGCGGGCAGCAGCAGCTGCGTGTCGGGCGAGCAGGCGCGCGCGAAGGCGGCCGCCGCCTCCACCGCCGCCTCCTCGTCGCACAGGGACGTGTCGTCCTCCGCTGTTATGATAGAGAAAGATATTCACTTAGTACTAACTCGGGTGCGTCCCTAGGTACGCGGATTTTGTTTACAGTTCCATGGGTTTTAATTGTTTTGTGCGGAACCGTGTATTTGTGTTTTAATATAATACCAGCATTGCCCGCGGCTCCGCCCGAGTTCAGATGACTAAAAATCACATTCTTAGGTTTTACATATTAGTATACTCTTACATTGCAAGTTTTGTATTTTTTCTCAGAAATGAGATACTTTTCCGCGGTAAAAAGTATCCTATACGTTGACCCGGATAAGCAGGTATTACCACACCAAATTTCATCAAAATCCCTCCGGTGGTTTTTCCGTGATGCGGTAACAGACAGACAGACAGACAAAAATTATAAAAACTATAGATTCGGCCTCTGTATCGATAATAATGTCTATTTCAATAAGATTTTCCAAAAAATTTTTATTGTACAGATTCGGCTTCGTTAGAATTTTATTATATGTATAGAGATTGTAAAGAAATACGTAAATTCTGCAATGCGGCAGTCATATCTCAATGAAATACAATCACCACTATCTTTCATAGTTTAAACATATGATAATAATTATTAAGTAATAAATAATAATATACATCAAGAATGTTGTTTATTTATAAATTTATATTTTAAAAATAATTTATATTACTAAAAACATCAAAATCAATAAGTAAGATATATATATATATATATATATATATATATATATATATATATATATATATATATATAGCCACTATCAAGGATGAATGTAATCATTTCTTGCAATTATTTATAAGTAGGTACATATTATATATGATAAAAATGTGAATGTTTCATTTTTTCTATCACACAAATAAAGAGTGGGTACATAATGAATAATTTAATATGTAAATATCTCGTGTCACGGTGTTTGTGCCACTGTGGTCGCACTCCTCCGAAACGGCTCGACCGATTTTAATGATTTATTTTTATATTTGGTAGGTATGAGAATAGGTCGTACAGTATTTTTCACCCTCCTACTCCCACCCCCCATTTCTTAAGTAACTAGGGGCGAACCCTAACAGAGCGAGGATGAGTCGCAAGTAATGTATAATTTAAAACAGCACGGAGATATGCTCAACTTCCGTGAATGTTACATCTTTATCACTAATTTCATTTATTTGCTGTAGCCTTCATAATCTTATCTCTATATTTAAGACACCTAAAAAATTAACAAGCCCAATAGTATTTTATTTAAGTAGGTCATAAAAATCCTAAAACAATCTTGTTTAATAACTATAAAGATAAAATTAAAAGTAGCGTTGTTTCTGTGAACGTGTATACCTAATAATTATTATTGTATGGGAATGCCTTTTGTCAATCATTATAGTCTCATGTTATATTTAATTTTGTTTTGTATTAAGGTTAATATCATAGAAAGTATATTGAGTAATTATTTATTTTCTATTAGATTTTGGGCATTTGTAATTTTTCCTAATGTTCAAGTTAAGTAAAAAACATTATATAAATATTATAATAATTAATACTATTATAATTTCGAAAGTGTTTGTGTGTGTGTTTGTTGTTACTTCTTCTTGGTAAAAAGTCTGGATGGATTTCGATGAAATTTAGATAGGCAATGACATGGAGTAACACAGGTTTCTATTTAGTGTTTACCACTAAGAGACGCATCCGAGCCAAGCGATGGTAAGTCGCTAATAATTTATATTATAATTTATAATATTAATGTACGCAATATGTTCTTTGTCCTTCTTTCACGTCAAGGAAACGACAGATCGATGTGATGTTTTATATATAGATAGTTCACTATATCTTCAAAATAACTCATTCCCATGGGAAAATATGACATACATAAAACCGATTAAGCGATTATTACATCATAAAAACTTTTTAACAAAAAAATAAAAACCGACTTCAAACAAAAGCACTAAAAAGTAAAAAATAACTGATTGGTAGTTTTCATTTACTATACATACCTAATCAAATATTTTCGAAGTCGGTGTGCTTTGCTTTGTATGGGCTGGCACCGATTTCGAAAATATTTGATTAGGTATGTATTTAATAGGTAGGCTTTACTTACTTAGCCAGAGCACACCGACTTCGAAAATATTTGATTAGGTATGTATAGTAAATGAAAACTACCAATCAGTTATTTTTTACTTTTTAGTGCTTTTGTTTGAAGTCGGTTTTTATTTTTTTGTTAAAAAGTTTTTATTTTTCCCTTTCTAGTGTAGACAGTAGTAGCATAGTAAGGATTCTAACGTGTTAGACTTGTCAAATCAAACAAAATAAGCCCAAACTCAAAGTATCTACTATTAGCCGTTGAAGAGTTCCACCTATCCACCTTCTGGCCTTGCCATCAGATCAGGTCAACAACACTGAACCACTGTACTATCAACGGAAATAGAAATACTTGCAAAGTTTCAAGTCAATATGACAATTAGAAGTAGGTTAAATTCATCATTTGTTGTTTTTCCACCCTTAGGGATGGTATTTTTTTTTTTGAAATTTAAATGGGACCAATCTGGAAGTATACCCTTTCAAACAAAACAAGAATTGTCCAAATCGGTTAATAAATGACGGAGTTCTGAGGTAACAAACATAAAAAAAAAGAAAAAAAAAACATACAGTCGAATTGAGAACCTCCTCCTTTTTGAAGTCGGTTGATAATATTACAAATGCTAATGGCACCTGGAGACATTAGTAGTTTTATATAATAATAACTATACGTTTTAGGTATATCAGTATTTCAAAGACATAATCGTCGAATTATGTGAGATAGGCGAAGGCCTACCGTATTTGTGAACAAATTTATGTGAACTAGATCTAGACTTCTCCGTATGCTGGCCTCAGTGAATTTAGCCGTTGTAGCCGAAATCAGTTACAAGGGACATGGACAAAAGTATATTATGGTATAAAGTATAATATTATGGATTATATTACACAGATTGATTATGACCTCGTTAACACATAGTATACTTATCAAGACGAATATAACGACATATGAATTATTAAAATCTTTAGCCAATTCAAGCTGTTTAGTAACTTCGAGGGAACATAGGATCGGACAAATTAAAAATACAGGTCAAACACATAATCCTCCTTTGGGCTTTGCCGTGGTCGGATAAAAGCCATCTAGGAACACACCCGAACGAAATAAACAAATAATAATAAAGAAATATTATTTCAATAAGTTGAACATCGACACCAATTGTATTAAAATGGAAATGTTCCTATTAAATATACGGATACAAATTTTCTAAACTAAGAAGTTTAGACAAAAAATCTTTTAAGTTAATTTTCGGAAGTCATGTATTTACTTACGATCATATTCAAAAGCAGGATTAATCATTCCCACACTACAAAAACGACACATCACATTTTAAAACAAATAACATCACAATATTCACATTTTTTTCCTGACTTTTTTACACAATAATTCATTAATATTAAGAAAAGATAAAAAATAGTTCCAAGATAATAATTATAACGTAAAATTACACTTAAAAGTATAAACTTTCTGCGCTACAATGAAAGATAAGGAAGAAATTTAGGCAATTCGTCAAACAATGGCGCGGGCAGCATTTTTTTATCTTAGGAGATGCAAGTGTTTACATCTATACATATTATAATAAAATTCTAACTAAGTCGAATCTGTACATTAAATATTTTTTGGAAAATCTTATTGAAAAAGTCATTATTACCGATACAGAGGCCAAATCTATAGTTTTTAGAATTTTTGTCAGTCTGCCTGTCTGTTTGTTACCGCATCACAGAAAAACCACTGAATGGATTTTGATGAAATTTGGTATGGTGATAGCTGGTTATCCGGGTCAATATATAGGATACTTTTTACCGCGGGAAAATATCTCATTTTTGAGAATAAATACAAAAACTGCAATGTAAGAGTATTGTACTAATATGGAATTTGGTTTTTGGTCATCTGAACGCGGGCGGAGTCGCGGGCAATGCTAGTTTTTAATAATTTACCTATCCTAAGCTATTAACTGATATCGTGAGAACAACTAGTATTTACAGCATCTTTGACTTTAATTACAATTTAAATATCATTACACGGTAGACAAGGAAACTAAAAACTGACTGTGGAAGGAAGGGTCTTTGCATAAATAATGTTTTTATTTACTATATTACAAACTAACCTACTGACCTGGCTTTGACGCTTTTATGGAATAGACAGACAATATAGTATAAAATATACACTTGAGAATTATTGATGGAAACTTCCACCCCCCTTTTCGGCCCTTTACTGTGATAGTGTATTTTAATTGTCTTTCAACGAAAAATCCAGAAAAAGGAATTAGCAAAATCTCTATCACCAATCTGTGAAGTATGGTAACTAAGATCGCTTGAGAAGGTTTCAGCTATATAATGTATGGTGGCGCAAATTTATATTTCAAAAACTACAGAACAATGTCTGCTTAGACAGCAAGCATCATATAAAATAAACAAACAACTTATAATTGATTATCGAGATTATCGAACTTACAATCGACTTAATAAGTGTAGGAGACTGGAAATTAGGGATTAAGTAAAAAAGATTCTCCATATATAGATATGAAATCATATGAAGTGAATGATTCATTGCAGTTCAATTATGAACTCGGCTTCGCAGAAGAATATTAAAAAAATTACAGATTCTAAATAAATTCATTTATTGGGACAATTATAATTATTTATATTAATATATTTATTATATTATACTTTCCTAACATTCTATAAATTCGCTCGCGCTAAAACTCCAAAAATAAATAAAAATTGTAAATCAAAATTACTTTCATTCGCTATTTTACATATACGGGATAAATTTCGAAGAATGCTAAAACATATAACCTTTTGTATAAACATACGATGCACTAATAATTTTCACAGTAAAAAAAATTCTGATCATAAATATTTTTTTGGGTTGTATCATAACGTGTTTCCCCGTGGAAATGAGATAATCTTCCGCGGTAAAAGTAGTCTATACCACTCTCCAGCCCTCCAACTATGAACTATCTTTACCCAAGAAATTACCCCAGTCCGTTACTCCGTTTCAACGTGAAAGAAGGACAAACAAATAAACATACTTTCACATTTATAATATTAGTATGGATATTATAACGCTGTCATTCGGTTGAAACGCTATGACAGGAATAAGGACGACAGCGATTAAGTTAAATACTGTGGCATCTTATTCGGTTGTCGATTTTGCAACATAAATGTATAGTCTGAAGTGCTGACGACTGTACAAAACATGACCACAACGATCGAATCGCCGTGTTTGCGTAAGGTCAATCGGGTACTCGCTTGATTCGTTCATTTACCACGCAAATCCAATTCGAGTCAGAGAGAATTCAACCCGAGTTAGTTCGAGTTAAGCCCAACTCGACTTAACTCGAGTTAGTAATTCGAGTTGAGACATCTTTATCCTAACATACAGTAAGTTCAAAAATTTGCTTACTGTATGGATACTATGGCATGAATTTTGACATAAATGTTTTTACTTTGATTAACTTTGATTATTCTGTTCTATTTGACCGTTTCTTTTTTTTAAAAAACTATCTTTTCGGATTTTTTCACGGATGTGTTTTGATTTTTGATTCTCAACGTATTAACGTAAGTATTCTAATACTTTACAGCAATCATGGTCACGGGAGGGCTCTCCGATGTATTTTTTTTTAAATGTCAAATATTTACGTTAATCTAGAAAATATTATATTAACACAGACTGTTTTAAAAAAATATTTCCTAATTAATATTAAGAATTGTAATATATTTATTGGAGAAAAAAAATCGTTTATTTATAAAAATATAAGGTGTCATACTACCAACGTACGTATAAAAACGACGTAATTTAGAATTATTTTCAAATTTTGAGCAATTTTTATGGATCATGTCACAAGAATATGTTCACTTCTTTTTCGACGACACATTTGGCTCAGTTTCTACTTTCTAGTAACCCTACTGTGCTGTGCCAGTGGTCGTGGATTCGAGTCCCGCTGGGGTCATTCATTTGTGTGACGAGCACGAATGTTTGTAATCCAGTCATGGGTGTTTATATTTATAGTAGGTATGTATTTAAAGTTATATACCTATGTTTAGTGTATCAACTATCTGGTATCGATAACACGAGCCTCGTAGCTTACCATGGAAGTAGATGGTGCTGTGTTAATGTCCCAACATATTTATTTATTTATTTACTCTTACCAGTGGGTCGCGGCTTCAATTCCATATGTCCATCAGGAAGCACTTCCATTTCAACGAACTATTAAATTTGTTATTCCAACTAAAACTAGCACAACTGTACAAATCGACGGGATCGATATTAATGCGTCAATACACGATAGCTGAAGCGGTATCTGCGATAAGATTGTAATGCCTTAATAATGTCACTTGGAACTATGTATCACAATACACACAGATAAATAAAATAGAAATAGTTTGTACTGTCAAAATAACAGCTTCTTAATAAATGCATATATATACGGGACTTTAAAAAAAACTCAATTTTTAAAATATTTTTTCCTGTGTGTTTGCTTCGGCTTATCTCCGAAACTGCTGGACTGATTTCAATGGAACTCTCACTGGCAGATAGCTGATTTTATAAGGATTAAGGAGTAACTTAGGCTACTTTTATTTTAGAAAATGAATTACGATTCCGCTCGAAAAAATTAAAACCTACCTAATATCAACAAATACGCGTGCAATCACAGTACAAACGTCTTAATGAGTAATTTGGCAAAATGTTATGAACCTATACTCACTTGGAACTTTGTCGAATTTCATTTTTGATGATTTGTACACAAATTGTATGAAACACACTTTGTAGTGTAATCTGAATGAGTCCTTCACTTGTCGTTTATATTACGACAGACTGCGTCTTGCGTTTGTAGTTTTAAATTTGTACAAAACTTGACAACATGATTCATAACATAGAGTTAATGATTTTCTTAATTACAAAATAGTTATAATTACATTATTTCCTCGTAAATACTTTCGTAGAATATTTTTAATCATTTAAAAGGTAATAATTATGAAAAAAAAAACATTATTGATTATTAAATATACGAATTTGCTTGAGATAAGCATTTGCATATTTGTAAGTCACGAAATATATGAAGATGAATAAATAATTCCTTTGAAGTGTATAAAACTAGCGACTCACCCTCGCTTCACTTTGGTAGACCAAAACAAATCTATCCCACAGGAACCGTATATTTTTCCGAGATAAAAAGTAACCTATGTGTTTTTCCAGACTATAATCTATATCTGTACCAAATATCATCTAGATTTGTTCAGCCGTTCTGGCGTGAAAGAGTAACAAACATCCATCGATCCGTCCTCATAAACTTTCACGCTATAATATTAGTATGGATATGCTATTGTTAATAGTAAAAACTGACTAAATTTATAGCTCAATGGTTTAAATGTTTTATAACCAAATAAGTTCCTTTTATAGTTTAATTTGACTATTTTTATATATACTAAAATTCGTGTATGTGTTTATGTTCGTCACTGATTCACACTAAAACGGCTCGACCGATTTGAACGAAATTCAATACATAGAGAGAACTTAGGTTATTTTTAGGCACATATTTGTTAAATACCAAAGGCTTTTACTCAAGCGAAGGTTGTCTCTAGTAATTATAATAAATAAAATTCCGTGAAAATTAAATAAAGACGGAAATACGTATACAAACCGACGTTACGATATTTTGCACATACATAAAGACTAATAGATTCTATCATAAAAAAAAACAAAGGCGTGCAGACTGTAGATATCGCGCGGAAATAGGGCGCAGTTATCGAATTATTAAGTAGATTTTAACGATTAATACATTTTTGATTATGACCAGAAATGACGCATCATAAGTGTTGAAAAATGAGATGTTTGATGAAATCTGAACGGAGCGAGGGAGAATCGTTAGTCAATAAACACATATACTAGCGATTCACCCTCGCTTCGCTCGGATTCGTCTCTAGCTTGCCTTCCAATACAAGCTCTCATCCCCATTTTTACCCCCTTAAGGGACGATTTTTGGGATAAAAACTATATGCTTTCTAGGGTCTTAAACCATCTACTTGCTAAATTTCATCTAAATCGGTTCAATAGATCCAGAGAGTACCCCCTAGAACGTTACAAACTCATAACCTCATAAAGTCACAAATTTTATCTCTTTATAATATTAGTATAGATTAATATGCATGTATGTGTGTGCGTGTGTGTACGTGTACGTACCGGCGCGCGCGTCCGGGTGCTCGTGCGGGTTGTGTATGATGCGGATGCGGCGCTCGGGCGGGTCGGGCTCGCCCGCCGCGCCGCCCGCCTCGCGCAGGCGCCAGCGCGCCGCGTCGGCCTCGCGCGCGCTGCGCGGGAAGTAGTGCGCCGCCAGCGCGCACAGCGGCGCCAGCTCCGGCCCCGACGCGCCGCACACCACCACCAGCTGCGGCTGCGGGTGCTGCTCCAGGTAGCGGCGGATTGTGCCTGTCGGGATTTACGTACAGGCGCTCTTCAATATCACGGTATAGTAATCCACCGCACAAAATTATACTACAATCGAAAGTTAAGTGTATATGTGCGTGCGTGTGCGTATGTGTGTATTTGCTTACTTATTAGGCCTTATATTACAAAATCACATAATATATATTTCAGTTAGTTAAAAAGCAACACTCACGTAAAGCTACGTGAGCAGCAACGTCTGGCGGGAAGTTCCGTCGCGGCGAGCTGATGATGCAGAGCGCGAGCTCCCGCACACCCAACTCCCGCGCCCTGTGCAGCACGTTCCTGGGGGTGGGGGTGTGGGGTTATATAGTAAAGGCTTCTTAATAATACGTCGACTTAATACTTGTTAAAGAGTTTTTATTAAAGAATTAATAACTTTTAAATGTCAATTCTATTGGTATTAATTACATATTTTACTTAAGTCGAAATTCTGTATTTCATCTATATATTATGTATATAAATCTTAGAAATAAAGCTTTGTTTTTTAAATAGAAGTAAAAACTTTATGAGTCCATACTGTAAAGTACAAAAAGTGAGCACTAAGACGACGGATAGTCGAAGCCATCGAGACTTGGTGTCTGACTGGCACATCGAGGGTTCCGTAACATTAAACATTAAAATTAATATCATCGCAAAAGAAATATTTTTTTTAAAAAAAGTACAAATTAACGGTATTCGGACTTTTCCCTTACATTGCTTCTTGTCCTTTATGATTCTAGGTCATCGGGAAAGTACTCTATAGCTTTTGATGCCCTTGCGAGTGTCAAAATATGTAGCATAAATGGCTGTATCTTTTGATTAGGTACATACATGAGTATGTCATATTAATTTCAGCTTGGTAACTCGTGTGGAGTTACCTAGTTTCCTGTGAATAAGGGCAAACAGACAGACGGCCAACGAAGTGTTCCTATAAACAGTCATTTTTTACTTTTAATTTACGGAACCCCAAAAACCTAATAAGAAGAACCACTCACTTATAACAATTGTGTAGAGAGCTCTCCGCTGCAGAGTGATACTTGGCCACGTACTTCGGGCTGACCGTGTGTATAATATGGCGGCAGCGGAGATTGTACCCGCTCGTTACCACAACTTCGCCTGTCCGACATTCTGTAAATATCGATAGAAATATTCCTCAGATCAAGGAATAATATATACAGAATATCATAGAACTAAACATGAAGACAAACATTAATGTCTTACAATAGTCTATAAATGATGATTTGTATACTGAGTGGTAAGTAAATAAATGTTGATAAATAAAAATAGCTAATGGATTTTATTATAATAAAGAAAAAAAGCGAATATTATGCAAATTCTCTACAAAGAGGTTGAGAACTAATGATTAAAAAATACAAAAGGATTAGAAGTATTAATTTTATTATTGTACAATCATTGCATATTAATTGAAGTATATAAAATTATATAAAGTATATAAAATTTCCCTTATTCTTACGATTTGTATAACAAAAACGTGAGCAAAAACAGCGAATCACGCTAATATTTTTGACTTTGACATTTATTTTGTCAGTCTCCGTCTATATTATTGCAATATGTAACACTTCGTATAATCTATACATAGATAAATCGATGTGTATACGTATGCTCTCTATGGACTCCAAAATGGCTGTAGTGATTTTGATGAAATTTTCAGGCAACTTCAGATTAGCCCAGCAGGTGATCCTGTGAAGTTAAGTAACGATCGAATGTTTAAACGAAGGCAAAGCCGCGGTTACTACTAGTCTATACATGTAATAACATTTTAACTAAATCTGTACATTAAATATTTTTTGGAAAATTTTATTGAAACAGTCATTATTATCGATACAGAGGCCGAATCTATACCTATTAAAGATTTTGTCTGCCTGTTTATCTGGCAACGCACCACGAGAAAACCACTAGGAAAATTTTGATAATATTTGGAATGATGATAGCTGCTTACCCGAGTCAACATATAGGATACTTTTTACTGCGGGAAAATATCTATCTCTGAGTAATCTATACTACCTTTAAAACGTTTCTAGGAACGAACCCGAGCGGAGCGAGTGTGAGTCGCTGGTAAATAATAATAAACAGCATACCTAGCGCTCTTGTAACAATTTCTTCTTTCAAATCGGGCCCCGCGCCCTGCATTATACGCTCGCTAACTACATTGCATTCTGTCAGCGTTTCATCGGTTGTATTTGTTATTGCATCTACTTCTAACGTTGATATGTCGCCTTGCCTGGAAAAGGGGAAATATATAGATTAATAACATAAAAAACAAAGTCGAGATGTGTCGTGGGACACCCGGTAGGAACGAAATTTCTTTACTCTATGCCTTTGGCTCATAAATAATGTCATAAAAATTGTCACGTACTAGGGTATCATAAACATCAAACGACGTACATTGTACATGTTGTTCTTCCCCATAAACTATATAAACATTTACTGTTTATTATATAAAATATTATAGAGGCAGTGGTAACTGGTATTTCGTAGTGCACGTTCACAGATGGCGCTGTTATTTTTTAAACGTTGTTTATCACAGTTAAGATCTGTTCAAGTCACTGAAATTTTGCTTAATTAACACAACTTATTGGTTTACACATATTTAAAAATAAAATAGTTACAAGCAAAAATAACGCGACAAATATCCGGAATTAGCGTCCATTTGTATTGGTATGGCATTATATTGCCATCGGTGACATCTGATCTTTTATTTCGAATAGGCTTCCAGTATATACTGCAAAAATTACTGAACGAAAAACGAGGTGCATTTACGGAAGTACATGTATCTCGTTTATACATGTAATTTTCAATGAACCTTTTTGTTTTTAAATCTATTATCCTACTTATACTATAAATGCTAAGGTTTGTGAGGATGTCTGGATATTTGTTACTCTTTCACGCAAAAACTGCTGAATGGATTTTAATGAAACTTTACAATAATATAACTCATACATCAGAATAACATATAGGCTACTTTTTATCCCGGAAAAATGTACGGTTCCCGTGGGATAGATTTGTTGTTGTATATCTAGGGGCGAAGCTGAGCCGCTAGTTCTAAATAAAAAAGACAGAGGATTTTGTTTTACAAAACGTAAGAAATGCTTAATATCGAACCATCGTACCTCGATATCTAAGGTTGCGGGCTTTTATCTTAGTTTAAAATATACTTCACCGATCGATACAAAAGTAAATTTGTTTTTTAATCAATAACACATGTTTCACGATAATAACTATGCAATTAATATGGTCAAACATAATCCATACTAATATTATAAATGTGAAGTGTGTTTTTTTGTTTGTTTGTTTGTTTGTTTGTTTGTTTGTTTGTTTGTTTGTTTGTCCTTCTTTCACATTGAAACCGAGTGACGGATTGGCAAAATTTTTTGTGTAGTGATAGTTGAAGGGCTGGAGAGTGATATAGGCTACATTTTTCCGCGGGATATTATCTCATTCCCACGGAAAAACACGTTATAATACAACCAAAAAAAATATTTATAATTAGAATTACTTGAAACTTGGTATTAATGATCTTCAATACAAATAAATAAATACGTGTTTTAGAATTTTTCAAAATTCATCCCATAAGGGGGTAAAATAGGGGATGAAAGTTTGTATGAAACCTACCTTTTTAGAGTCTATTTTTGTATTTTTAGCGCGAAGGAAGCCGCGGATTCTGCTAGTATTATATACATTATACATATAGTTATATTTTGTTTGATATACCTAGCTTCTATTTCCAAATAAAAAAATATCATTCAGTCGCGTACAAAGTACTTACTCCTAACAAGCAATATTCAATGTACGCTCAGTAATTACGTGTATTCAGAGTACCTACTGCATATTTTCTATTTTATGTCGTCGTCTGCCATACGATAAATTATACACTATTGTTCACAACTCTTTCAAATAAGTTAACAAGTGGAAATATAATGCATTTGTTATGGATGCACGTAATTACAGGATATTAATAAAATAGCCATTACCAACAAAAGGCAGTGGTAGACCAGTGGAAACGCGCTCGCTTGAAAAACCGAGTGAAGCGGGTTCAAATCCAAGATCTCGCACCTCTGATGTTTTCATGTGCGAATCATCTAACATGATTACCACTTGCCTTACGGTGAAGGAAAACATCGTGAGAAAACCTGCATGTCTGAGAGAATCTAACAAGTTTTCGAAAGACATGTGAAGTCCGCCAACCCGCACTTGGCCAGCGTGGTGGACTATGGCCTTATCTCCCTCGTATTGACGGGAGGCCCGTGCCCAGCAGTGGGACGTTAAAAAGGGCTGAATACAGCCATTACCAACGTTTTACTAGTATAATTTCTTGTTCTTCCACGAGCTATGAAAAAGCTAATTGTTTCATGAAAACGTATAGAATCGTAAAAAAGCTCTCATTCATATATGAAGCTTATTAAATATGGGCAATAGTAGTCATAGGTTACTTTCTGCAACAGATTAGTATTCCACGGCAACTACTTGATGCACCGGGACAAAAAGAATTCCATCGCTCTCCAGCCCATTAACTATTCATGCAAATACATTTATCCTGATACATATAGGTTCCTCTGAGATTATATTAGATATATTGCAATAATAATTTGCGAGGAGTAGTACGAGCCAGAACGAGACATAGACTCGTCCACACCAGACGACAACGATTTCGCAAACGTTAGACGACCGTCAGGTCGCAGGCAGCAGTAAATTTTTCCTAAGCTTGCTTTAAATATTATTTCTATTTTCTGTGGTACCAATTAAGTAAACTTACTAGAGGACCATTACGGACGTACTTAGAATACACAACAGCTCGTAGAAAAATGTAAATTTAATAGGGATTCATAATCTTATTACGAACGTTAAAGTACTAACTTTTTATGTGCTTGAAGGAGTTTATTACGAGATGCAGTTCACCTTTCGCTTGATTAATCGGACTGCTATTATAAGTCAAACTTTATCAAACATACAAACTTAACTAAGTACTGCATAATCTATACAGATAAAATTAAAATGTCATAATAACAGCGTTTTATAAAATGCATGTGAAATTATATACGGTACTTATAAGAAAAACACATTTTTTTTTAATTTTTGTCTGTCTGTCCGTTTGTTCCAAATAATCTCTGAAACGGCTGGACTGATTTTGACGGGACTTTCATTGGCAGATAGCTGCTGTTATGGAGAGTAACATAGGCTACTTTTATCTTAGAAAAAGAATTAGGGTTTCGCTCAAAAACATTAAAACGTGTATTGTACGTCGCTAGTATTGTATACGTCTGTTACTCTTTCATTTTGAAATGTTTGGATGAATTTAGTAGACTATGGGAGCAACCCCTTGACTGTTGTGGTCTGCTTTGGCAGGCCTGCCGTCGTGATATCGTGGTTGAGTGCGTAAGCAATCCTGCGCCGTCCCATTAAGACGTGGGAGGTAGAATCCCAAATAACTACCTGTTTGTATACAGGTGGTATGCGCATTTTAAAACGGTAAAAAAACACAATGGCTAGTGTTGGCACTCAAGCGAAGCGAGAGTATGTCTCTATTCTATTACACGTCTCTTACCAAATAGCAAGCCGTTGGTTGATCTGATCGTCATATGGGAACACGGGGTACTGGTGTACAGGGGGCGCCCGTCCAGTGTAGTCCGTGAGTGGCGCGGGCGCAGATTGCGACCAGCGGGACAAAACCACCCCGCCGGCACTCGCCGGCGCTCGCATCACGCTACCCTCTGGAAATTGCAAATAATAACTTTTAATATATATAACACGCTAATATGCTCGATTGGGAAACAGAGTGAAACGGGTCCAAATCCCGGGTCTTGCACCTCTGATTCAACATGATTACCACTTACTTTACGATGAAGGAAAACATCATGAGGAAAACAACCTCCATGTGTGAGAAAACCTAGCAAGTTTTCGAAAGATATGTGAAGTCCGTCAACCCGCCCTTGGCCAGTGTGGTGGACTATGGCCTGAACCTCCGGGTATTGACGGATACCAAGTACTTTTTTTTTTAAATTGGGAACTGGCCTAACGAAGCAATTCATTACAATGACGGATTGCTCTCACAGTCTACTCTTACATCAGTAAAGTTCCAGGACCAACCCATACAGCTATTGAATATTTTTTCGTGAACGTATTTACCAAGTGAGTGGAGCCACGGGCAAAGCCTAGTAACTATATAAGTTTGTTAATATAAAGCGTATTATAGGGAACCTTCATACAGCACGCATAGTCTCGACATGCGAAAAAACCACACGTACACTCTTAGTGTATGTAATTCGAGTTCTAAAACTTATTTCCTTATGTAATCTTGATTTACGTTCATCATTGTACTTGAAGCCAGAAATATAGCTTTAAAACACAACTTCTAAAGATGAATACTAAAACGAGTTATTTTAAATAAAATTAATTGCCAACTTGCCAAATTAAATAACTTAAGTATTACAATACTTTTACGTTATATTATGAATTGTCACTGAAAGATAAAGGCTTAGCAGGCAATTATACTATACATAGAATCATACATTTTTATGCAAATTTGCTTCGACCAGAATTGAATCTTGTACTTTTAAGCAGAAAAAACTACTACGTTATAAGAACTGGTTTTTTTGCATTAAATTTATTCTTCAACGAGTTATAGTATAATGGCAGCATTAGTTATTATACGAGAAGTAGGCCAAGATTGAGTTCGATTTTTCTCATTATTTATTACTAGTAGATGCTATTTATTTAATTTCACCATTTTAGATGTCACCTACAGTATTGACATGTATTGCCATGTCAAATGTACCTACTGTGTGAGATATTTTTTTTATAGAGCTCGTTCCAAGAATATAATAAACTGAGAACTCTGTACATAAAATAATATTTAAAAAATTGTTAACAATTCAAAGCAAAATATTCGTAGAGAATGATTTAAAAAAAATATACTAAAATGATTTAAAAACCACTGCAGTCTATTTTTAGAAATACCTGACATTTACAAAGATAGTGTTTTTCCGATAATATGTATGTAGTACAGGGTACTTACTGTACAACTAAATGTTATGTCTATGGCATTATTAATACGCAGTATTGAAACACGATGATTGAAAATAATAAAAATATTATACATCATGATAAATAAACGAATTTTTATTTCAGTCTTTTGCAAGCTGTCAATTACGATTAAATGAAATAACTTTATTATACATATAATACCACGAGAAAACCACTGGATAGATTTTGATGAAATTTGGTATGATAATAGCTGGTTATCCAGGTCAACATTAAGATACGTTTTACTGCGAGAAAATATCTCATCTCTGAGAAGTCTATACTAACGTTAAAACCGAACTAGGGATGAACCCGAGCAGATCGAGGGTTAGTCGCTAGTTATTAATATTATAATAACGAGTAGGTACTATACTATTGGTACCCATTCAAAATTTAACGATGGCAACATGCAAATTTTAAATTTAATTGTTATGCAGTTCTGCGCAAGACAATCCAGATATTTTTTTAAAATTGGTGTAATGAACTTACTATAGCTGAATTACTCTCTGTACATTTTAATTGTGTATGCTACTATTTTACAATAATTACTATGAAAAATTAAAAAAGTTCAAGATAACCAAAGGAAAGCTATACTTTTCCTTAACTTACATAAGTCCATCTATTACTTAGTTAATATCTAACAATTATAATTGTCCTTATTAAAATTACAAATTAATATAGTAACTAGCGACTCACTCGCGCTTCGCTCGGGTTCGTCCCTAGGTACGTTTTAACGGTAGTATGAAATACAAATCTTTGAATTACTCGGCTTTTCTGTACTATAATATGCATGTACTATCATATAAACCTTCCTCTTGAATCGCTCTATCTATTAAAAACCGCATCAAAATCCGTTGCCTAGTTTTAAAGATCTAAGCATACATAGGGACAGACAGACAGCGAGAAGCGACTTTGTTTTATACTATGTAGTGATTTGTCAAATTAAACTTAACCTATAAACAAGAGTAAAACTGACATGGAATTGATTTTGCGTAAATCTAAGTAGGACAAGACTGCTGATGTAGAGGGGGGCCTCTCATTCACTCTACTTAGGGGGAGAAGGAAGGTAAAACCATTGAGCGAACACTTGAAAAGAAAATGTCGTAGCATTGCATTGACTGAGATAAAAAATGCATTATGCAGCTTTGCATCTTTCTTTATACCTTTCATAGAAATAGTGTAGTATTTAATTGCGACAAATCTTTGTAAGGGTGATGTTGTTAACAGATATATATATATACTTTTACTTTATTAAAAAATGTATAGTTAACAAGGAAACATCAAACAAGCGTTAATTTATGGAAGAATATTTGTATTAAAATCTTACTAATATTGTGTCAAAAATCAGGGTATGAAATTATCAAGATAAATATATCTTTTGATAATTATCATGATAATTATGGGTTGATCAAAGATAATTATTAATGATAATTATCGTTTCGAACCCCGTCAAAAATATTATAATAACTTAAAAACATAGTCAAAAAAATATCAATTCACTCTTAGCGAAGGTATCGTTTCACATACAACACAAAGAAATACAGTCAAATTAAGCACCTTCTATTATTGAAGTCGGTTAAAATTCTTCGTAAACATCGTTAATCGTTATAGCTTATCTTGTGAAGCAAAGACACACAAGGTCTAGAACAACAATAAAACTCATAAAAATTTAACTAGCCATGGACAATAACAATTTCATCACATATGTACTTAATAGATATAAAACTTTAAGCAAGTAATTTTGTATCAAAACTATATTTCACTGCCCATATTAAACTTATTTATAGCATACTAGAGACTCACCCTCGTGTCGCTCGGTTTCGTCCCTGGGATGATACCCCATACAAAATTTCATACACATTTTCACCCACCCCCTTAAGCGATGATTTTCGGGATAAAACTATCCCATTTCCTTTCAAGGGTCTCAAACTATCTTCTTACCAAATTTCATCTAAATCGGTTCAGTAGTTTTGGAGCCTATTCGGTACAAACAAACAAAAATCAAATCTTTCCTTTTTATGATATTAGTATAAATATTGTATGGTAACATTAGGTAATCGGAACTCCATTAACAATTTTAGTAAGAATATTACTATAGTATTTCACCACACGATATTCTGTTTAATATTTTTTACTTAGACAACGGCGATTTTTTTTCGTTTTAAATATAATAGAGCTCTTATAGGAAACCATCACTAAGTTCACTTTTTATAATGTTTTAGCTTTTGTAGATGAATAGAAATAGTCTACATATTAAATTATGAAAAATAATAAATCAATATTTAAAAAAAAAAACTTATTTCAGTTACTAGTTCCATTCAAAGGAAAGATATCTAATCTGAACATAAAATATTTTTTGGAAAATTTTATTGAAATAGTCATTATTATCGATATCGATCAAGGCCAAATCTATAGTTTTTAGAATTTTTATCTATCTGTCTGGGAACGCATCACGAGAAAACCACTGGGCAGATTTTTATCAGTCCAGTGTTTTAGATAGCTGGTTATCCGGGTCAAAATATATATAGGATACTTTTTACTGCGGGAAAATATCTCATCTCTGAGAAATCTATACTAAAAGTTAAAACGTAACTAGGGACGAACCCGAGCAGAGCGAGGGTGAGTTGCTAGTATTTGTATAAAAAAAAACAAAGCTTATTTGCATTATAAATATTGGAACCTAGACTTATTAAGAAAAGAGCATGCTTTGCTCTACCCTTTTACATCCTTAAAAATAATAGGTATATAAAAAAACAATGAAAAAAGGTAAAATTAGTACATAATAAACACTTATATACATTTTGTACTTATACATAATATCTATATCTTATATTATTCATATTAATATTATATATATTTTTTTGACGCAAACTTATATAACGTTTACTGTGTAATTGATAAAGAACAATATTTTTACTCTACCATACATAGCTATCTACGTAAATTGAATAGTAATTACTCTTTAGTGTATTAGCAAATTAATTCTGAAAATAGCTTGAAGGCCACCAATCTATACAGATAAATGAAATGGAAGTGTCTTTTTGTAATGTCAAAATAACAGAGTTTTACTAAATGCATATGAAATTATATACGGTACTCATAAGAAAACACAATTTATAAAAATTTTGTCTGTCTGTTTGTTCCAAATAATCTCTAAAACGGCTGGACAGATTTTAATGGGACTTTCACTGGAAGATAGCTAATGTTATAGGGAGTAACATAGGCTACTTTTATTTCAGGAAAAGGATTAAGGTTTCGCTAAAAAAATTAAAACGTACCTGAGAACGAACCCGAGCGAAGCGAGGGTGAGTCGCTAGTCAATTATATATTCAATCCATATTGACGTTATCCTCTAGTTATATTGTTGAAAATTTATATTTTTTAGCAATGTTTTAATAAGATTTTTCTTTTTATTATAATTTATTAAAATACAGGCTACTCATAATATCTCACATAGTTTTACAAAAAATATACTTTTATAGTGTTAAATCACCCGTTCAACATAAAAATCCTAAGCCACACTGTTATATAACAGAACAATTTTAAAGTAGTTTACTTATATAATATTTTCTTTCAACTCTTCATATTAAATTTAAATATAAAACTACTTTTGAAATATAGTAATACTACTATATTGAATTTATTATTACAATGTAAATAATATATTATAATTATTTCCTCCATTATTACTTCGTAATAACAACATAAAATAAATAACAAATAAATCTAAATACAAATGATCAGTAAAATCATACCCAAAATGGTCATTCCCGTGTACAATCACTAATTAAAACTTTTGCAATTCGCACTGTACGTCTGTCCCGTATGAAAGACGGTGGACATATGACCTCGAAGCCAGATCACACCCCCAATGGGCGGGGAGGAGGGGATGAATGCCGTGACGTCACACGGTCGACGACCCATAGAAGTGGGTCATGGGATCGCTCGATCTGGCAGGTTTTGAAACATTTTCCTATGCTTCATTGTGATCTAACAATGACAGTCACTATAATGACACGTACATATATACATACATATATGAGGTATGTATTCTAGCATTCACTTGTTTGTACAATTTAATTTAATTTCAATTCTCATAATAATACTTAATTTTATTAAAAAATCAAAAAAAATAATTTTGTTTAATTCTGTTGCTTAAAAAGTTTATGAGGCAAGGTACTCGCATAATATGAAAATCCTTTTAAAACAATATAGTGTTCTATTGCCTGCATCTAAAATATTAATAACACAACATTTGCTACATCAAGCTTGTATTTAATGAAATATTTAAATTAATGGAACGAATTAGTTTCTATGATCACTTTATTGTATTGTAATCTATACTAATATTATAATGAGGTAAAGTTTGTGAGTTTGTGACGTTGTATTTGTGGATCTACTGAACCGATTTAGGTGAAATTTGGTAAGAAGATAGTTTGAGATCCTGGGAAGGACATAGAAGGACATAGAGGGCATAGGATAGTTTATCCCGGAAATAATCCCTTAAGGAGGTGACAATGGGGATGAAAGTTTGTATTGGGAAGCAAGCTAGGGACGTGCCCGAGGGAAGCGAAGGCGAGTCGCTAGTAATAAATAAATAAATAATAAATAAATATGTTGGGACATTAACAGTCGGCACCATCTAGTTCCATGGTAAGCTATGAGACTTGAGTTATGAATACCAAATAAATGATACACTACACATATATAACTTTAAATACATACGTCATACATATTACAAATATGAGTACTCATCACTGGAGTACAAACTACAAACAATCGGGCTTATCACACAAATGAATCCCTCCAGCGGGTCTTGAACCCGCGACCGCTGGCACAGTAAGAAGGATCACTATAAACTGATATTTTTCTTAATGATTGAAGTTTCTGCAGAATGTTTTCATAATGTATTTGAAAAAAAAACTAAACGCACAAGTAGTAATAAAGACATTATCTAACACTTGGTTATTCTCAACTAGTGTTTAGATGGAGACAGTGAAGATGGGAGAAGTTAGTTTTCCTATCTAACTTTGAAAACATCTCTGAATAGGTATAGTTAGTGCAATGCAATTGTAAGCGCAAGTTATGTTGTCGCCACTGATAATCACGTACCAATGCAACTTGTGTAATGTATAGAAGACGACACGTTTGGTTCAGTTTGTAGTGACCCTACTTGCTGTGCCAGCGGTCGCAGGTCGAGTCCAGCTGGGGGCATTCATTTGTGTGATGAGCACGAATGTTTGTACTACAGTCATATGTGTTGATATTTATAATAGATATGTATTTAAAATTCTATATGTGTAGTGTATTATTATTTTTATTATTTATTGGGTGTGGTGCCGAGGTCGGCCCTACGTCGACCAGTTATGGTCCATTGTAGTTCTATGTGTAGTGTATCTACTACCTGGTATTCATACCACAAGCCTCGTAGCTTACCATGGAACTAGATGGTGTTGTGTGTTAATGTCCCGACATATTTATTTATTTATATTTAGAATTGAAGATATTTTTTTAAATATCTTTGGCAATCAGATTTAGAAAATTATTAAAACCTGTATAAATATACATATATTCACGAGTTTTGCCCGCGGCTTTGCACGCGTTCTAGGTACAGCGATAAGAAACAGTCTATGTTAATCCATGATATAGACTATTTCCATTACATTTAAATCCTTTAAGACGTTGAGCGTGAAGTGTGTACTAGTAACTCACACATTCACTCACCCACAAACTCAACACTTATAATATTAGTGACTAACGGAAAAACAAAAACAAATCTATCCCACAGGAACAACAGCATTTTCCGGGATAAAAAGTAACCTGTGTGCTATTCCGGACTATAATCTATCTCTTAATTAAATACATTATTTCGTCGTATGTAGATAACATATAATACGTTACGTAAACAAGTATAGCAAACAAAACTGAATCATCATAGCAAATCTAACTAATCCTCTGACTCTCTTAAACAATTGGCCTTTATTTGCGCCTTAGATATGCGCCGGCGCAGATTATAAACAAGCCGAACAATAAAAGCTGCCTCACACACACATTACAATGGGGGGACTTAAATAAATAATTCCATTAACATGCAAGTACTATAAATAAAATTAAAGTGTTTGTCTGTAATTTCTGAATTGTTACTCTACATTGAAGCTATAAGGTTTGTATTTACTTGCTAGTATCTTAAACAATAAGACAAAGTAAAAAAAAAACCGCTAACTTCTAAAGTTTTTTACGTCTTCACTATCTGATCGAAGCGTGAATGGTGCAATGTTTTAAACTAGAAAAAGATATTAGTTCCCGTGTAATAAGAAAGAAATTTTAAGAGGTTTTTACGGTGTGTAGTAATGCAAAGCAAGGGCGAGTCTCTAGTGAGTAGTGACTCAATACATTGAATAAAAACGGTATTTGCTTTGACAGTGGTAAATATTTGTCTCTTTGCAGTCATATGTTAATCTCGGCCATATAAAATCTAGGTTACAATGATCTTAAGCGCATACAACGATGTTTCAAATAGCTTTTGCAAGTGTTTAATTGATTTAAATATTTAGAAATAATAAGTTAAGAAATGTTATTGATTAATAAAAATGAGATTTTGATTTTAGATTATATATACAGAGAAAATAAAAAAAATACTCTCCATTCAATGCGCAATTATTCGTGGTGCAAATGCAACCATAATCATTATTAAAAAATATATTATTTACTAGCGACTCACCGTCTCTTCGCTCGGTTTCTTCTCTAGTTACGTCTTAATGTTAAGTATAGATTTCTAAGAAATGAGATATTTTACCGCAGTAAAAAGTACCCTATATGTTGATCCGCATAACCAGCTATCATCATACCGAATTTTATCAAAATCTGTCCAGTGGTTTTCTCGTGATGACACGCACACGCAGAGACAGAAAAAAATTCTAAAAACTATACATTCGGGCTCTATGTCGTTAATAATGGCTATTTCAATACGATTTTCAAAAAAAATATTTAATGTACAGATTTGACTCAGAATTTTATTATATGTATAGGTAACAATAACACTACAGCTCGTCAATGTAGCTATTGAAGTTGAATTAAAAAAACGGCGAACAGATGAGAATATACAGACATATATAACTTACAAAGCAGAGTATCGAAATAATATGCCTTTATAACAAACAGTCTATGAATAAGTAAAATAACGATACCATAACGTTGTCTGAGTGCTTATTTGTCGAAACCACCAAATTACCGATAGAGTTTTTAATACAGAATTATTGACTGTTAATGTCAATTCTATCGGTATTAAATATTAATTTACTTTAATTAAAGCCGAAAAAAAATATTTTATCTATAAATGTAAATAAAACTTTGATATAAAGCTAGGTTTTTATAATAGAGGAAAAATGTCTCTACAACAAGTAATGGGCGTTTGAACAAATGAGCTATAAGGTGACCATAAGGCTTCGCGTACACAATACTCAATATCCATTGCAATACGTTAATTAAGTTTGTTAGGTACAAGACTGTACATTTTACTTCGTGTTTTAAACAAAATAAATTACAAGGGAATGAGATCTGGTGGCATATCACTACGATCTGAGCTTTCTTTGTTAAGAGACGCTATGTTGAGTGGCACCTTGACTTACGACGAGGGTATCAGAAAGAAGTCGGGACTAACAAAATTTGTGGGACAAGATGTAAAATTTAACAATAAGTACTTAAATGAATTTAAAATAAGGAGTTCTATATGAATTACTTTATCACAGCTATCTTGCTTAAAAACATATTTACTATAATACAAAGGCATAATGGCAGGTCACTAAAAAAACAAAGAAGCAAATAAAACACAATATTTTACTATAATTTACATTTACATGCAAATTTTACGATAGTTAAATATGAAAAACGTAAATAAGTGTCAAAAAATAAACAAACTGCACAATGCACCATAACTCATGAGAAATGTTCGGCGATACGAAACGAGACAAAGACCGTGAAGCAAAGCAGTCATTCAAAGGCCAATGACTTTAAAATGTAGAACGTATTATATGTTCATATTCTTTACGGAATGTAACTATTAGTGGGTACTATTGTATATAGTATTGCTAATAATTCTGGTAGAGAATATTTTGATGTTATAACTAAATATATGTTTGACAATACACCAATACACTAGGAAAACTTTAAAGTACACTGCGAAAAATAGATTTATATATTTATTGAAATTTCAGTACATACATAATAGCAAAAATAGCAGATAAAAACTATAATAATTACAGAAGTTAATCAACATTGCGAAAAAGAGGAGCATTTTACTCCCGTTAGAAATAAATATTTGTATTACAGACTTGATAGTATTACGCACAAAATAAAAACGTACGTATATTTGTATAATTCTTTAAAAAAAAAGTTTGCGAGGACGGCCTCATCGCTAATATTCACTTAAGGTTGGTAGGATAAGAAGGCTGTTCAAACTGGCCCACAAAATTAAACTGAGTATGTAAGCCTGTGTTTTTTTTGTTTCCTTTATTTTAAACCTAAGTTAACTAACAAGTAAGAAAACTATACAAACAGCCCAGTTTACCTGCGCTTTTAACTCTACAGTCAAAACTGTGCAGGTGTAGCATAGCTTGTAAGTACTTCAGTATGGCAAATATCTTTAGAATTTAGACTTAAGTATGAGTAAACATTACCCTTGAGAATATGATAGAGAGGGAGGAAATGATTTCTATCGTTAGATCCAATATTCTATCTCGTGAGGAATATTCTCGTAATGTAGAGATTTA